CCATTCTCCACCCGAACATACAAGTCGTCTATGACATTCCAGGACTATGATGTTAGTTAACCCTTACACCCTCTGTATCCTCCCTTATACCCTAATAGATTGTAAGCTCTTCTACCTCCTGTATCCTCCCTTATATCCTGATAGAGTGTAAGCTCTTCTACCTTCTGTATCTCCCTTATACCCTAATAGATTGCAGGCTCCTCCCCTTCTGTCTCCTCCCTTATATCCTAATAGATTGTAAGCTCTTCTACCTTCTGTATCCTCCCTTATACCCTAATAGAGTGTAAGCTCTTCTACTTTCTGTATGCTCCCTTATATCCTGATAGAGTGTAAGCTGTTCTACCTTCTGTATCCCCCTTATACCCTAATAGATTGTAAGCTCTTCGACCTTCTGTATCCTCCCTTATACCCTAATAGATTGTAAGCTCCTCCCCTTCTGTATCCACCCTTATACCCTAATAGATTGTAAGCTCCTCCCCCATCTGTATCCACCCTTATATCCGGGTGGCTGGGAGTACCGGGTGGCAGGGAGTACAGGGTGGCTGGGAGTACCGGGTGGCAGGGAGTACAGGGTGGCAGGGAGTACAGGGTGGCAAGGAGTACAGGGTGGGGGGGAGTACAGGGTGACAGGGAGTACAGGGTGGCAGGGAGTACAGGGTGGCGGGGAGTACAGGGTGACAGGTAGTACAGGGTGGCAGGGAGTACAGGGTGGCGGGGAGTACAGGGTGACAAGGAGTACAGGGTGACAGGGAGTACAGGGTGGCGGGGAGTACAGGGTGACAAGGAGTACAGGGTGACAGGGAGTACAGGGTGGCGGGGAGTACAGGGTGGCAGGGAGTACAGGGTGGCAGGGAGTACAGGGTGGCAGGGAGTACAGGGTGGCGGGGAGTACAGGGTGGCAGGGAGTACAGGGTGGCGGGGAGTACAGGGTGGCAGGGAGTACAGGGTGGCAGGGAGTACAGGGTGGCGGGGAGTACAGGGTGGCAGGGAGTACAGGGTGGCAGGGAGTACAGGGTGGCAGGGAGTACAGGGTGGCAGGGAGTACAGGGTGGCGGGGAGTACAGGGTGGCAGGGAGTACAGGGTGGCAGGGAGTACAGGGTGGCAGGGAGTACAGGGTGGCAGGGAGTACAGGGTGGCGGGGAGTACAGGGTGGCAGGGAGTACAGGGTGGCAGGGAGTACAGGGTGGCAGGGAGTACAGGGTGGCAGGGAGTACAGGGTGGCGGGGAGTACAGGGTGGCAGGGAGTACAGGGTGGCAGGGAGTACAGGGTGGCAGGGAGTACAGGGTGACAGGGAGTACAGGGTGGCAGGGAGTACAGGGTGGCGGGGAGTACAGGGTGACAAGGAGTACAGGGTGACAGGGAGTACAGGGTGGCGGGGAGTACAGGGTGACAAGGAGTACAGGGTGACAGGGAGTACAGGGTGGCGGGGAGTACAGGGTGGCGGGCAGTACAGGGTGGCGGGGAGTACCGGGTGGCGGGGAGTACAGGGTGGCAGGGAGTACAGGGTGGGGGGGAGTACAGGGTGACAGGGAGTACAGGGTGGCAGGGAGTACAGGGTGGGGGGGAGTACAGGGTGACAGGGAGTACAGGGTGGCAGGGAGTACAGGGTGGGGGGGAGTACAGGGTGACAGGGAGTACAGGGTGGCAGGGAGTACAGGGTGGGGGGGAGTACAGGGTGACAGGGAGTACAGGGTGGCAGGGAGTACAGGGTGGGGGGGAGTACAGGGTGACAGGGAGTACAGGGTGGCAGGGAGTACAGGGTGGGGGGGAGTACAGGGTGACAGGGAGTACAGGGTGGCAGGGAGTACAGGGTGGGGGGGAGTACAGGGTGACAGGGAGTACAGGGTGGCAGGGAGTACAGGGTGGGGGGGAGTACAGGGTGACAGGGAGTACAGGGTGGCAGGGAGTACAGGGTGGGGGGGAGTACAGGGTGACAGGGAGTACAGGGTGGCAGGGAGTACAGGGTGGGGGGGAGTACAGGGTGACAGGGAGTACAGGGTGGCAGGGAGTACAGGGTGGGGGGGAGTACAGGGTGACAGGGAGTACAGGGTGGCAGGGAGTACAGGGTGGGGGGGAGTACAGGGTGACAGGGAGTACAGGGTGGCAGGGAGTACAGGGTGGGGGGGAGTACAGGGTGACAGGGAGTACAGGGTGGCAGGGAGTACAGGGTGGGGGGGAGTACAGGGTGACAGGGAGTACAGGGTGGCAGGGAGTACAGGGTGGGGGGGAGTACAGGGTGACAGGGAGTACAGGGTGGCAGGGAGTACAGGATGGCAGGGAGTACATCAACAACCGCAGCCATCAGCAGCCGCAGCCATCAACAGCCGCAGCCATCAACAGCCACAGCCGCAGCCATCAACAGCCGCAGCCATCAACAGCTGCTTGAGGGGAAATGGATTTACCATCTCCTGATATAAGAGTCAGCTCAGGCCGAGCAAATAATTCCACCGGGCATGATGTCCACCGGGAAAGCAGCGTAGGGCCCCGTGCTGGCTGAAAACACGTGTATCCTATTCCCTAATGCATTTTAAATTATTTTTCTTTTGTGTGGTTTTCATCTATTTTATTTTATTTAATGTATGTATTTATATCGTTATTTATGTATTTTATGTATTTATATGGTTATTTATTTAATTCATGTATTTATATGTGTATATAT